ATTATTTTTGTCTCATATTTGACCAGAATAAAAATTTTTGTTAAATAACAAAGCACTTTGACTAAATTACAAATATCACATTTTTCATATAAAAAACGTGGTATTTGTAAAAAAAAAAAAATTCAACCAAATAAATACATTTGTAATGTCAAAACATAATATTTAATTAAAAAAATATTTTAGATAATAATAGGTCAAATACAAAGCAAAACAGAGCAAAGTATAAAGAATGGCCTACATAATAACACATGGGCCCTCAAGCCATGGCTTTGTCATTTTTTCTTTTACAACCGTGTAATATAGGTTTGTGTGGTCTAAATAATGCCACGTGAGGCCCCAAGCCATGGTATTGTCATTTTTTCTTGTATAGCCGTATAATATAGGCTTTGATTACATTTTTTTATATGGACAAAGACAGTATTTAAGGCTCCAATGACTTTTTATATAAATGTAAAACATATGATTATTTACTGCATTTCTAGGCTTTAAACTTAGTATTATGCTCAATTACTGCACTTATTTTAAGCTAAATGCAATAATTGTTTATTATCATTTTATTTTTTAAATATTAATTATTGTATTTTTTTGAAGCTAAACGTAGTAATTGTTTATTGTCATGCTCAATTACTATGTTTTTAGGCTTTGAAATATAGTAAATGTAGATTATTTCCTACATTTATTAAATGAACTTAACACAATAAATGATTACTGTCATTTTTATATAATTGACAACTTGAATACTACGTTTCTAGGATTTGAAACATATTAATTATCGATTATTTTTATTGATAAATTATTGTATTAGTTATGTAGTAAAGAACATTATAATAAAAATATATGATTACGTAATCTAACTTTTTTTCCCAACTAACACAAGAATCTAACAATCTTATGTCATGAAAAATCACCCTTTACTTAAAATTCACACTTTTTCAAAAATCACATTTTCCTCCAAAATATAAGATTTCGTGAATCAAATGTCCCCTAAAAGTCTTCAGATTTTCATCTTCCAAAAATCTTTAAATTTTCTAGAAATGCATTTATGAAAATATTTAAAAAATTTTGGAATCCTTTTTTTAAAAACTTAGAAATTGTGAAATAAGTTTCTTATTCAACACCAATATCATTTACACTTTGAATCTTGTATATTTGCTTTGAGAGATAATGTCTTAACCATATAATATATACAACAACAGATATGGCATGAAAGAGAGGTGATGGCATTAGTCGAGGTGGGCATGTTATAGTTGACACTCAGAGGTGTTTGATTATCTCTAAGAGAAGATGGTGAGTTGATGCTCATGCAGATACAGTTCAATCGATTGTTCATCCCTTAGAGCATCACATTGTTGACAAGGATAAACCCCCATGTTGCAATTGGTTGTTCATCCATTAAAGCCATTTTCTAGAAGACTGACGAATGCTTCTATACTTAAAAGCTTTAACATGCATGTTACAGCATAAATATGAAATGACCATATAATAAATTCAATGAGATTGATGCTTATTTTTGTTACATAATGTATGTAAAGTTAATAATTAGTTTCTATTTGTTGTTGTTGTTATAGGAGAGAGGTACTTTAAAAATGATCAAGCATGGGATAAAGCTACAACATTGGCTTTTGGAAGCTTCTAGATAACGTATTTGTATAAACATTGTTCAATCAAGATTATGACCATTAATTGATTGCACCTATCATTTGTCTAATCAAACAATAGTTTCAACATTTGTTGAAAGGTAGTGGCTTGAGACAACACTTTTCACCTACCATTTGGTAAGATGCTGATCGCGTTGGATGATGTGTACATGATTCTACTCATACTCATTAGAGGATGATAATATCAATTTAAAAGTTGACAATGGATAAGGCAGACGTGTTGTTAGTGTCATTACTTAGAGTATTAGAGGCTGAGGCAACTAATGAAACCAAAATTTATTATGATACAACTATTAGGCTGTAATGGATGCCAGATACATTTAAAGGTGTTACAATATGGCTTTTGATCGAGATATTGAGTGTGCTAGTAGGGCTTTTGTACTCCATCTCTTAAAATGCACGTTATTTGTTGGCAAAAGTAAAAATAAAGTATTAGTGGTATACTTACATTTATTGAGCAATTTGAGCACCATCTGTATAGTGACTAAGGTTTAAGTTCATCAAATTACTGGTATTACATTTCTTCAGGTATGTATATTACATTAATTAAATAACTTGTAAATTAGTTTATATGTTTAATTATTTGATTAAAATAAATATATAATTGATGATGTTTAAAGTATTTGATGTAAGCATGAATTTATAAGCACTTTTTAATCTTAGGTTCAATAATTAATATAAGATATTTTAATCAAGAGCCTCATGCTCGGCTTTAATTGAAAGACATTGACAACAACCATAAAAAAATGAAAAGAAAATGAGATAATGACAAATGAATTACCTTATTTCATTTCACTTTATCTTTCCAAAAGTCTACATTTATTGCTTGGAAAAATTGTTGGTAACTAAAATCAATTTTTTTTTATAATTAGTTATGTGTTTTTTTCATTTAAATATAACTTCTCTTGTTTCTTTTCACCTTTTTATTTTGGGTAAATAAAATTCATAATCCCCAAATTTTAAGTTAAATTTTATTTTGGTTTTTAATCTTTAAAAATTTTAATTGAATTTATAATTGTTCCAAGTTATTTTATTTTGATTTTTTCATTTATGAAACTGTATAAATTGACGGTAAATATCAATTGACACTACGTGGTTAACATTATTGGCACCTTACGTGAAAGATGAAGGGCCAAAATAAGATTTATTTCAAAGTTTAGGGATTAAATGGGCTACTATCTCAAATTATTTTATATTTTAGATATATTTTATAAAATATTAAATTTAAAATAATATTTTCATATTTCTTAATTATAATATATTTTATTCATTTTTTTTGTTTTTAATAAGAAGTAGATTTTCAAAAGCTAAAATTAAGTTAAAATTTTCAAAATCTTTTTTAAAAAATTCAATATCATTTTTAAAAATTAAATAAAAATTTATATTGGTTATAAAAAATTAAATAAAAAACTTCATATCTTTTTAAAATATTAAGTAAAAATTTTTAAATCATTTTAAGAATTAATTTATTAATATATCCATAATATTTTTTCTATTGAAAAATATTGTTTTAAATCAATTATTTATTAAAATTTTATATTTAGAGAAACTTAAAAATAGACAATCAAAAGATCCTTATCATCTTTGATTCAATAAAAGGATGAGATCGAGTTATTGAAAATAATATATATATTTTTTTATAAATATAAATTTTTAATAGAAATATATTTAAAATAGATTTTTTGGATAAAAATAAATTTTTGAATAGATTAATTAATCTATTTTTAAATTCATATGAAAATTGTAGTTTTTTATTTAATATTTTAAATAGATATATAAATTTTTATTTAATTTTTTGAAATGATATAGAATTCTTTTGAAAAATATTTTCAAATTTTAACTAAATTTTAATTTTTTAAAATTTATTTTTACTAAAAATAGTATTTTACTGATAAATAATATCATAATAAAAATAAAAATTATTTTAAATTATAATATTTTATAAAATATATATGAAATGTAAAAAATCAATTTTTCTTTGATTATTTTTATTTCTATTTTTTTATTCTTTATAAAATATATTAGAAAACGAAAAGGAAAAGGAAAAGAAAAAGAAAAAGAAATTTAATTTTTTTAATAGAAATAACTTTTTTGGATAGAAAATATATTAAAATTGTTTCTAATTTTTAAAAAGATATTGAATTTTTTAAAAAATATTTTAAAATTTGAACTTAATTTTAAGTTTTGAATATTTAGTTTTAATCAAAAAAAAAATTTAACTAATAAATTATATTACAATAAAAAATAAAAAAAAACCTTATTTTAAATTGAATATTTTATAAAAATATATTTGAAATAAAAATTGAGATAGTAGTATATTGGATCCATAAATTTTGAGTAAAATTTTATTTTGATCTTTTCATTTGTTACATAAGATATCAACTGACAATATCAATGGCGTTAGTTTCTCAATTTAGATGGTACCATAAATGAAATGAGTAAATTAAGATAATTTTAAATAATTGAAAATCTAATTAAAATTTTTTTAAAATTAAAGATTAAAAAAGAATTTAACTCAAAATTGAGTAGTATTAACTTTATCATTCTGAATGTTTTAAGCGAGTATCAACTTTGTAATAAAAATATTAATTTAATTGTTATATGCTATTTATAAAGTTAGTAATTTCAAGATCACATGTATTATTATATAGAATTTTATGTAAAGTAAAAAAATTAGAAGCATACGGATTTTAAAATGAAAAGAGTGAGATTTAATGTTGAGTAATTATTTGCGTACAATTGTTATGCAATTTAATATCATATGCATTATGTATATATAAAAAAAAAATTTGAAAGCATACCAAATGCTAGTACTTTAATTTTAAAATAGATTTGATAATTTTAAATATAATAAGTGACACAACCAAAAAATAATACAAAATAAAATACTAAAATGATATAGTTTAAATTTTTACTAAAAACTATATATGAATTTATCAAAAATCAAAAATATATTTCTTATTTTACGTGTAAAAATAAATTATAATATGATAATTTTTATATTTTTCATATGTTTAATAAGAGACAAAAACCAATAGATACTAGGACTATTAAATCTACTTTCAATTTTCAACTCTTGAGAGCAAAGTAAGAAACAAACAAAAAATTTTACCAAATTAAACCTAAGAGTGCACTTCATATGGTCATTACATTGATCCTTTTTCCCTTTTAAATGACTACATAACCAAAAGTTTTACTCTGAAAAGATAAAACCTCTAATAACTAAGCAGTCTTAAAATGCGGTTTGACATCAGAAACCTGATACTTTGAAAGCGAGGCCTGCTAGATGTCTTCAACAAGAAGAGATGAAATGAAATTCTAGAAGTATAATCTTTGCAGAAATATAAGAACTTAAGCAAACAATTTTATTTATTGTAATGTAACTATTCCACAACAGTTTCATATTGCTATGATACAAGCTTATTTCAAACAAATTTTACAGGAATACAATGCAAGATGCCATGTATTGTAATTTTTGGTTCACTCTTCATCGGGATAGGATTCAAGAAGCTGTCTAATTTTCAATCTTTCTTCCTTCGTAAGATCAGGATTCTCGCTAGTCAACCTCTTTCGAACTACTGCACTGACACTGTTTGGATCATTGTCCACAATCTGCACCATGAGAAAAACAAACATCAGAGGGTGAAAGTCGCCTAGTCAGTGGAGGGCTGCTATAAAAGAGAAAATTATCGCTAACTGATAGAGCTTTGCCAGATTATAGCCAAGGCATCCTTAATCTACATATTCCTGAGAAGGGTGCTCTGCGTTCTTTCAAACTATAAGGGCTAACTGGGAAATTCATAGAAAGCTTCCAATTCTCAATCTGCTTGAACTGGGTTTGGATATCTAATAATGATCCATTGGAGATGACCAAACACCAGCTGAACTAACTTATCCAAAGCTAGGGCTACTGAAGAACCTTAAACAAATCCAATAATATAGAATTGATAGTACAAGATTGAGCTCCCCCCTTGACAACCAGACAGTAGAAAGTGGAAACTTACATGGAGAAAATTGTTGATGTGGCCATCTTTATTAGGAGTCGTTAGCAGCTCGAATTCATTGATTGTCCATTCACCATCAACTATATACTTGTACTCGTAGCGTCCTTCCTGTTAAAGAAAGAGGAAACGTACAATTATCTTAAAATGTGGTCTCCTTATATTGACATGAGTTCCACTTGCTAGATAGCTTTCTTCAAATAATCTCTAGACTGACAGATACATCTCAGGTTAAAAAAAACCATACTAATAATTTACACCTGTATGAGGTCATTCTGTTTCTTAAGGTGAGAGCTATTGCCTATCTACACATTATCAAACTACAAAATAAAAATTCTATTATATGTTCCCATGAGTATTAGACCTGACACAGGTGAGGACATGACGATATGAAGCATTTACATTACGTGTACAAGAACTAGGGTTGAAGAAACAGTCCCAAGGACAAGTGCATGCAAATTGGAAGGCTCGGTATGACTGAAATGTTAACAAAATGCACAGGGATCTTGATTCTTCAAACCATGAGTGACTATTCAGCAGAAATTTTAGTGCCAACAGGATTCACAATTGCATAAAACTAAGAGAAACAGGGCAAGAAAGAGCAACAAAAGCTGTAACTGAATAAATGTAGGATAATTGTTAATGCAGGGGTTTGAAAAACAAAGGCAAATGCAAGAGTACTTTACATATTTCTGCTTTTAAGAAATTAAAGACTAAAATGCACTCCTACAAACAAAATACAATTACCGGCAGTTCTCTCTGAAGAGTCCATGATTCATGTTCCTTGTCCAGCTTCAAAGGTATTCTCTGGATAAAAAAGACAACATCGGTAGAATTATAAAAAAGCTGAAAGTGAAAGAATTAATTAGTATATCATCTTTAAAATAATGAATAATTCTAATCCACTGAACTCTGCTAACCAAAAAACAAAAGCACAATCTGCCTCCAACATAGCTGACAGTTCTCAATCCATTGTAGAGAAAACCAAGAACTTTTTACATGCACAAAATTAGTTTGTTTCTATATGACACGCTGGATACAGGTTCAAAAAGCTACCCTTAGGAACACAGGCCCCACTCGGTACACCAGATTATTCACCAAGAACAGAGTTTGGCTAGCTTTTAAGGAAAGGATTAGGAGTAAATTTGCAAATGAAGTTGACCATTTGAATCCTTTTGAAAAGACAATCATCCAGCTCTTACTTCCTATTATATATGCTACATTGTTCAAAGTGAGGTAAAGTAAAATTTAGTCTACACTGGTTTGAACTGTTTTCCTTTTTGAGTGTTCCCTCTACAATGAAACACATAACTGTTAGCACAAAAAAATAATTATAAAATTGATAAAATAAATCTCAAATTTTATTATAGAAAGTAAGCTAGGCCAATTAAATATTAAGGATAGCCATGCCAACCATTAAAAAAGAATGAAAGAAAGAATCGACATAAACAAATTTAAGGAGAAAAGGGTAAATGAATCAATTTCATCAAAAATTAAGATTAGGACAAACGCTAAACAACATTCTTTTACATTGCATAAATTCTGAAAAAAGAAAATACACACATAAGAAAAAATTTTAAAAAAAGGATTTTCACACTAAATAATTATGTATAATACATCCTGATGCTAGATAATATGTATAAAAAGGTTATCTTTCTTGACATATAAAATAGCATCTATCTTATGCTATCCTTCATCCTTCTCATAATTGCATTTGTACCAAATACAAGAAAGGATAAAAAATATTCTAATCTTATCCACCATTCTTTTATTGTCTGATCCTCTTCATGCTATACTGAACCAAAAAGTAACCTAGAAGTCTGGGATGTGCAGAGAGGACAAGACGAGAAGACCAATGGTTGACAAGCTGAAAGGATTAATTACAAACCTCTGTGAAAAACTCTCTAGATTTAGACAGAACACAATCTTCTAAAGTGCATAATAAATCAGTTTAACAAACAGCTGGAATATGCACAGACAACTGTTTATTGAAGGTGAATAGTTTCCCTGCAATCGATATTATTTAATTGAGAAAAACCGTAAAGATATTTGTTTCTAACAGTAAAGCATCTTCCCACTAGCGAGAAAAACAAAACATAGAGCCATAAATTAGGAATGGAACTTCACTAGTCTGCAGGAAAGAGGAATTATATAATGTCTTAACATATAGAGGATATACAGCTGTTCAAGTAGACTAGCTCTTATCAGTTACCGCATAAGTCACAAGATCTTTTATCTCATATTTTATACGAAATTCTGGTTAAAAATCACACAGTTATAGACATAGGGATATTGTAGCTTTTAGAATTCACAATGTGGCAATTGGCATTTTTTGCATCCTCGAACAAATTCCATGGCTTCTATAATTCTCGATTGACAAAGCTGAATGTGCTAATAATTAATAGTATACCTGACCCCACCCTATATCAAGTCCAGAAACTTCCACCGTAGAGCACTTGCTGTCTTCCCATGTCAAAGTGACAAGCTCCTTCTTGAGGTCCGTGAGCTTTATGTTGAGAAATATGATAAAATGAGTTTGCAATAACTTCTCATTCAATATATAATGCTTATACACTAAATAAAAAAATAAAAAAATAACTGTCATCATGAAGCTTGTGCTTTAGTGAATACTGCAATTAACATTGTATTACACATCCAAAAAGTAAATGTTTTGCAATGACCACATGAAATTCATGCTTAGCAAATACTGCAATACTATTGTATTACACACCAAAAGAGAGAATGTTTTGCAATTTCGTGAACTCATGAAGCAGAGAATAAAATAGTTATTTCCACAAAGTGTGGTGCAAGTCCCATGGATTTATAGTTACATGATTAGCTTAGTTGTCTATCTTTTGCATGTCAAAGACAAACAAACACATAAAGTCATCAAGAATGCAATTACACATATAATCCTGATTCATCAATTTCAACTGGGCTCATCAAAAGAAAAATAAGCTACATTGAAGGGATAGGGCATGCAATATATAATATACAAGAGGGTAGTTATATTCAACTGCAATAATAGGAATGACTTAAAATGTCTGAGAAAGTTAAAATATTATCACCTTGCAAGGGCAGTAATTCTAACCACAAATTCAGGAAAGCTTCACACTTCAAATATATATTTGTGCTACAAAAAGCATGTAAACTGCTAGAAGTTTTTCACACAACCAGGCAGCATTTGTATAAAATTGTATCAAATAACACATACTACTCTTCATACAACAAATAAACTAGTTCAAACATCGAAAAAGAAAATAAAAATTTTAAGGCTTAAGGCTTCATGAATGATTATGCTTATTGTAATAGAAGGAAAATGACTCACAATATCAGCAGTTGCACTTTTGATGGCATCCAATTTAGGGAAGCATGCACGTTTGCTCTGAAAGAGAAGAAATAAAAAATATATCAGAGATGTTATAAGATAATCTACACACAGTATTGACAATGCAAAACCATCTTTTTGATTAATCATTTACAGAAAAAAAAAAAAAAAAAAAGAGAAGGAAAAAGAAGAAAAAAGTCTAGAGATTACTATCCCAAACTTTCCAAAACTAGTTCCAGAATTAAACTAAACTATCTAACTTTTAACCAGAAACTACATCTATGAACAGGATCAAGTCACAAATTACCCATTCAAGTTTTGGGAAGCATGGGAATTTTATGGTTTGTTTAAAAAAAAAAACTGAAATTACATCTACTGTCAGAACTAACTATTGGGTACCCTATATCAGCAAGCACAAGGTGCTGCTCCTCAGACATAAATTTCAGTAATATATCTAACAGTTAACTTAAAGGCAGTAGTTACAATGGTAAAGCAAGCTGTTCAGATACCATAACTAAGATCCTTGCATTTAAATTGTTGTGATTTAAATTGACAGATTCTCAACCGTGTGGCTTGCATTGCAAATAAAATCACATTAATAATTACATGCACAAGTTAGACCTTAAGAAAATTTATGAAAATACGTCTTCATTTTTAATAATATTGATTCAAAGATTCATCAACCCTAAAATGATAGAAATAAATCCAGACACCCAAATTGAATTAACCCTTCTGATGGTTCTAAATCTATTGATAAATTTAGAAAGATAGAGCCTGTTTAGCTCTGATATTATTATGCAAAAAGAAATGAGCATGGAGAGAAAGGCAAGAATACCAGCAGCAATCTGTGAGCTTCACCAAGTTTATAGCCTTGAACCCAGAACATAAATGCCAACTGTCATTAATAACAACAAAAATCTACAGATCAGTACACAGATAAATTAGAGGAACCAAAAGATGCTCATTTCACGAAAGTTGAGCTCTGAAAACTGGACAGCAGAAGGCATTTCAGAATAATAGATGAATTGAATACCGCAACAGCAGGAGCTCTTCCAAGTCCAGCAGTACAATGTATATACGTTACACCTCCATTCCGATTTATAGCCTTGTACAATTTACTAAGCACAGCCGGAAGCCGCATCCGTAAATCAAATGAATCAAAGTCCCTGCTTCATTCAATATTGACCTAACTATATTAACAACAAAAAGGACTTCTAATAACAAAAACAGATACTTCTACTTAACAAGTTATCAGTGATACATATAAGTTGATATGTGTTAAAAAATTAATCGCTAGTTTCACCCATAGCATTACAAAAGATGCTTTTCACGGTGAAAACTCATTATGATGTAATGATCACTCAATTGTTATGTCTGACCTTATTTGAGCACGTATGTGTTCAATATCACCGCATTTCTTGGCATAATCTTGAATGGCACCAATATCAACCCCAAAAAATCTGGAAATTGTAGTAAAGGAAACACAGCGGTTACTTATTTGATCAACCATTCTTGTCAATCTTATCTCCAAAAATAACATGTCACTTACAAATAATCATACATATAAAAATATGTAAGAGAAGTTAGTTACTTTCATTTTTTAAATCATAAATTTAGATGGAACTTCAATGACAATAGTGTCTAGGATACTCCAAATCTGGATCTTGCTGCAAGCAAAATATGGTTTTCACTCCGACTTTACGAAGCTTGTCAACGTCTTTAGGAGTCTATCAATTTGAAGAGAGAAAAGAAACAAATAAAATTCCGGTAAACAATTAAGAGAGAATTATTTTTCAGTTATTTACTTAGAAATGAGAATCACCTGCAAACATGAACCCACAATTAGGTCTGGACGGATAAAGTTATAGTTCATTCCCAGTTCATGCCTATAAGTTAAAACTGCAGAAAACCACATAAAACAAATGATTAACAACAACTAAACCTAGAAGAAACAAAATCATATAATAGAGTAACTACCAGAGCAATAATAACATTAAATTAAAAGCCAACATATTAATTTATCATGTTGAATGTTGAGGCTGCCATAAAGTATCCTGTATTGTTTCTTTGACACTTTATGTTAAAAAGATCTCCCCACTGGTTGTGAGCCATTACATTAAACTTTATGTTAAAAAGATCTCCCTGCTGGTTGTGAGCCATTACATTAAGATTTTAGCTTACCGTTTTGTACCCCACATCAAAAGGCATGGTTATAAGCCTCTGACATGAAAAATGGCAATTACGCCAAATTGCATCTAGAGCTTCCTCAAGCTTAAAGCAAAAGCAAAACACAAGTGAGCTTACCAGCACCCATAGCTTCTGTCATATTATGACTATATATCTCGGATTTCCCCTCCTCTGAGTCAGAGCTACTCCTCTTTTCACTTGATGTGGAACCTGAAATTGCCTGCAGCAAAAGAAGTTCATAACCAAAATCACTGTTCAAATAAAACCAAGCAGCATGTTGAGCAGCACAAGAAGACAGACTTTTTCTCATCCTAAACCATAGCAATTTAACCATAATAAATCAAAATAAAAGGTTACTAAGCCTCCTACTAAAATTTGGGCACAATCGTCAAATGCTGTACCTGTGCTTGAAAAGAATGCAGATCATTTTGGTTTCACATGTTACATTTTTAATGCATATGGAAAATTAACAAATTCCTTGTATCTTTAAAAACTAAAACAAATTGATCAAAATGAAGAAAGGATATGTACAGAATATACAATGAAATCAAATCTCTGAAGCTAACACTAAACTCCAACCAAACACAGAAAATGAATTCGAAATCCATGGATAACTAAGGTACCTTAACTTCCATACTTCGCGGTATATCACCAGAATTCTTCCCTCCCTACATTAAATCACATAATTCAACACCCAAAAACAAAAACATGAGATAAATCATACACATATCAATACATATAACTACTGATATTAATATATTATACAACAGATGTAAGGATTAAAGAGTTAAAAGCTGTAAATTTACCATCATATTAATAGAACATGAAAAGGGTTTTCTAGGATTGCACTTGAAACCATGAAATGGCAATGCATAGGATCTGAAACTATTCCAAATATAAAATTTTACGCAAGATTCCGGATTAGACCCATGTTAAAAAAATATATTGGAATATTAAAAAGATTGAAAAGATAGGATTTTGATTAGACCTTGGAAGATTTTGAAGACAGTTCATGTCTGATCAGAAGAGAAAAAAATAATCTTGCAGATGACAGAAAAATCTTAGTTGCAAAGTAGATTTTTTTTTTTTTTTAACTTTTGAGATTTTCTAGTTGTTGATTGAAGAATTAAAAAAAGAATTGTTTTTTGAAAGAATCTCAACAATGCCATTCGGACGAATCTATGGCCATCAGCTCCACTGTCCTAAAACGTTGGATCCCGCTATCGTTAATTACTCTTTCTTTTTCTTTTCTTTTTTTTTTCTTACGTATTAATTCGGAGATGAAAAGAAATAAAAATATGTTTTTTTGCGCGTTTTGCAAAGTTAATTATTATTTTTTAAAAAATTTAAATAATATAAATAAACTAGGATATGATCGAAAATATTATTAGTATACTTTTCTATCACATGTAATATATATTGGAACATGTTACCTAAGAAATTGCTACATTTTATTTATAAAAAAAATAATTTTATCACAATAACAAGGTATTAAAACATAAATATAATGAAATATAAGTTAAAGAAACTCATTATGATTAAAAATAAAAAAAATATCACGAAACTAGTGGTGTTATTGGACCGAACCAAGCTGGACTCGTCTTTTAATAATCTTATCTTTGGTGTGACCTATTAGATTTAGGAGCTCCAAAGTTTTTAAAATAATATTAAAATCACCGTATTATTAGAGATTTCGAGTACTTCAAATTTATTATTATTTTCTCTGTATCATTATTATTATTATTAGAGATTTATTATATATTTAAAAAATTAAGATTTGAAGAACATAAACAAACAACAAAACGGTATAATCTTTTAACCATTCAGCAACAAAAAAAAAAATTATTCTCTTCCCATTTTTGTTATTCATTTTTTTTGGATGTCTTAAAAAAAATTTTTTTTCAACATCTAAATTTTTTTTATATTTTAAAATTGTTTTTATAATTTTTTCCTTTTTAATATTAAAAATCGTGAAATTTTAATTTTAATAAAAAATTAAATTTTAATATTAAATATATTTAAGCCAAAAAAAAAATTTTAAACTTCCATGAAAATCAATACATAACAAAATTTTTGAGATGAAAACAGATAAAAATTTTCTAAAAAGTATATAATAAAATTTATCTTAAGCATATTAAAACTTACAAAAGTTACTATTTTATGGGTAAATTTTAACTATAATCCTTAATTTTTTTATTTTATTTTTATTTTAATAACTAATTTTTTAATTGTTTTATTTAGATCTTTAAACTTTTAAAACCATCCATTTTGGTCCTTTATCATTTTTTTTTTCTTAACAATTGAGAACGGCTCATATGGCATATTACGAAAATATTCACTGATAAACTATTAAATTTAAAATCAATTAATGATAAATACAAAATTTTAATTTAAATATAAAATCACATAAAATCAAAATATTTAATAAATTTGAAATAATATCACTTCGACTATCACATATAGACAAAAAAAAAATCTAATCACATAATAAATTTGGAAAGGGGATAAAAACAATGAAACAAAATTTTAAGTTCTAATATCATATTAAATATTTAATCTAAAATTAATTGGTAATAGGTGAAAAGGTTAATTTGAATATAAAATCAAAAAAATTATATATTTAAAGATATGGAATAATTTTATTTGAATAACATCATGGGTGAAGACTAAAATGGAACCATTTAAAAATGTTTGGGACTCAAATAAAACAATTCAAAGGTTATGGACTAAAGTAAAACTCATATAGAAGGTTTGGGATCAGGACGAGATTTATCTATTCAGAGATAAATGAGTAACATCTGTCCAAAAAGGATAAGAAAATGAGTTCTATGAATCATCAAGGGTATAGAAGAGATTTCAAAATTTTATAAAATTTATTTATAAATTAACGGGCTGAACCTAATTATGATTGAGCTCTCAAGTCATTATTTTATTAATAAAACGTCTTTATTTACATTTAATTATAATAATAAAATATATTTTAAAATATTAAAATTATAATATATAAGTACTTTTTAACGCTTTAATATTTTTTTAAATTGTAACCCAGCCTATTTGAGCTTTTATGGACAGGCGGAATCATGTTTTGGGAAAGATTTTGTTATCAACTGAACTTGATCCTATTCAAGCCGAATTCATGAATATCTTTGTAATAAATATAAAACACATATAACTATCTCACAGTGGACTTGAGAGTTAGATTGAGGGATGAATTTAATTAGAAAATGATATAACAATTTTTAAAATATTTTAAAATTTATAAAATTCTATTAAAATTATAAATTTTACAAAAAATAATTAAATATAATATATAAATTAGTGAGATACACCAGTATTTTCTTATTATACCAAAAACTCAAATAATTTATATTGTTTTAAAATATGACAATTTTGCTTCCGTACATGGTTGAACAAAAAAAAAATCAAGACATAGTAAAAAAAAAAATAGTTAGATATTATAGCAGTACATTTCTTTTGCATTCTAATTAAATTAAAAAAAAAAAACAGATAAATTTATCAAATGTTTACAAAATATATATATATATTATCACAACAAAACCAATAATTTAATAAAATAATTTTATTTTAATAATTATAGATCTCATCGCGTAATTATCTAGTTTATATCTTATTATAACCAAATAATTAGTTACAAAATAATAACTTTCAAGTGATTTAGATTAATGTATGATAAAGATGACTTCTTAGGATGATGTCTCCATTGATTATTTAAAATTGTAGTGATTGTTAATTAATAGTACCTTTCTTAAAAATTTTGAAGAGAATAAAAAGTTTACTAGCAGAGAAGAGTTAAAATGTTTGGAAAAAAAAAAAGAGTTAAAATGATATTAAGTTTGATTTAGTTGATTTATGCAGTCACCTTGAAAAGGGTATTTGATTCAAAGATTTTTCAATTTTGAGATGAAAAGTGATTTTAGGGGAAAATTATATTGAATAAAAATATGTGATTTTTTAGTTTTATTGACATATGTAAAATTTTTGTGTTTAGTTTAAAGGAATGTAATATTAATTAATAAAATCTTTTACTATATTATTTTTTATGACATATGAATAACACGTAACATTCATAATATATTATATATGAATAATACGTTTTGTTTTTGTTGAAATTAAAAATCGCTTTAAAAAATTTTTTATAAATTTTTATATTTTTATTAAATATAATTTTATAATTTTAATTATTATCCCAATGCAAAGAAAATAAGCATATTAACCTTTGAGTAAGGTCAATGGAAGGGTGGTAAACCTTTCTCCTAAGGGTTTTAGGGGGTAGAACACTGGAACAGATTTTATAAGTAATAATATTAAATAAATATATTTTAGATTTTATATATAATATTATGTAAAGATATTTTACATTTTATTTTAATTTTGTTATGAGTAGCAATATTTGTTACATTTTTTTACTTAAAAATGTAATATTTATTAAAATTATAGAATTTTTAAAATATGATTTCAACATCTTTTATGTTTCATATTTGAAAAATGAGATGTTTATTAAAGTTTTAGAATTTTGGAAATAAAATTTTAATATTCACTATGTTTTTTTATCTTAAAAATGCAGTTTTTATTAAAATTTTAGAATTTCAAAAATATAATTTCAACATCTACTACATTTTTTATCTTAAATACATGATCTTTGTTAAAAATCCAAATTTTCAAAAAAAAAAAATTTCAATATCAACTATGTTTTATATCTTAAAAAAGCAATCTTTGTTAAAATTTCATAATTTCAAAATTATTATTTCAACATTTACCACATTTTCATCTTAAAAACGCGATCTTTGTTAAAATTTTAGAATTTTTAAAATAAAGTTGCAATTTCAACTGTATTTTTTATCTTAAAAATATGATTTGTATTCAAATTTTAGAATTTCAAAAATAAATTTTTAACATCTACTATATTTCTTATCTTAAAAAAACATTTTTTTAAAATTTTAGAAATTTTAAAATATATTTTCAACATTCACTACATTTTTATCTTAAAATTCCAAAATTTCAAAAATAAAAGTTCAACAACTATTATATATTTTATCTTAAAAACATAGTTTTTGTTAAAATTTTAAATTTTTGAAAATAAAATTTTATCCACTAAGTTTTTTTATCTTAAAAACATAATATTTGTTGATATTATAAATAACAAAAATCACATTTATTTTATAATTTTAGGAGATTAGAGATAATAATATAGTTTGAAAATACAGGTAAATAAAGGTAAATGAGATAAAATTTTTACTTTTCTTATGGAATAAAAAAAATTAGGAAGAGGTGAGTTTTTTTTATTTCCTTTGAGAAAATCTTTTTATTTTTATTTTCTAGAAAATAGTTTTTATTTTCTATTTTTTGTTTCCTAAAAATATATTTAGTAAACGAAAACAAAAATTATTTTTTAAAAATAAAAAAAAAGAAATAAATAAGATATTTAATGATATCACTATTAATGTCATCTAATTATAAATATAATATATATTTATTAATTAATAACATTAAAAAGTGTTTATATATAATAACTTGCAAAACATTAAAAAAAAAAAGTAATATACATATATTGTTTTCACAATTTAAAGCATCTTCTTCTTTCTTTTTTTTTTTTTCATATTTTAACCCATTTTCATTTTTTGTTTCCTAAAAACTTGTTTTCTAAAAATTTATTTTTATTTTCAATTATCAAACACGTTTTTACTCATATTTTTTATTTTCCAAGAAAATGAAAGGCTTTGTCTTTTAAAATCAATCACTACATTTTCTCATTTTTTCACATTGTTAGAAATCGTAAAAATCTCAAAAATCACATTTCATAAACCAAATTTAAAAATTAAATTGTAAAAAAAAAATTTCGACCAAAAATTCAAATTCAAAATTCAGCACTTATAATTTTTACTTTATTTTAAGACTATGATTTCCTATATAAAATAAATAAAGAAATGCCCGCAAATGGTAAAGACATATGGTAAGAATGATTCAAGTCCATGTTCAAGGCAGATTAAACACTAATTCATCATAATCGTTAAGCCAATATTATGTAGAGAAATTATTTTATTTATTGTCGTACGTAATCTTAAATTTACATTTTATTTATTAAAATTTCCTAAAACACAAGTTAACCATTAATTAAGATTTTCATGAATTTGAAATTTTTTTATATTTTTTATTTTAAAAATGAATTTATATTTTTTTATTTCTTGAAAAATCACTTAAATTATCATACTTTTGGTAGAAATTATTGTTGAGACAAAAAAAAAATCTAAAGAATAGACTAAGAAATATAGCCATTCAAATCGAAGCTAAATTTAGCCCAATACAAGTGATAAAAAGATAATTGGGTTAATTAATTTATTAATTAACTAACTTGTTACCCGAATTATCTTAATTTATTTAAATGTATTTAATTATATAAATTAATATTATTTAATCCTTTAGATATTCAATATATATATATTACAAAAAATATAATTAAGATTGAGAATATAGTTAAAAAATAAATTATTTTTTAATGTATGTGATATTTGATTTTTTAAAATTTAAAAATAATCAAATAATAAAAAATTATTATAAAATCTCTAAAAATAAAAATTATATTTTAAAATTTCAAATTTAAAATGATATATATTTAAAGTATTAAGAAATCTATTTTATAATATCACTACATTTGACTTTTTTATTTAAAAATATATTTTATATTATTGGAAAAACTATGTTAAAAAATAATATATCACTATAGTTGAAATTTTTAAATTGAATTATATATATAGATTATTTAAAAATATATTTTTTAAAACATAATATATTAAAATTAGATTTTGTTATTAGTAACTTAAAAATAATTGAATTGATCTTCTATTTAAATTTCAAAGTTCTTTAATATATATTTTTTAATAAATATCTTAAAATTTAGAAATATCTTACATATTATTATCATGTATAGTTAGTAACTTGGTGTATGATGTAATTAAATATTTTTATATTTGGTATAAACCAAAAGCTAATAGAATAAAATATGTTGAATCCACCTCAATTGACAAAATAATAAAAATTACAAAAAAAAAAATTTCACTCTCAAAATGTCCATATAATATCTTAAAAATATACTCATATTTATATACTAAGTTACTTACTATACATTTGTCTTCAGCTTTTTGGCTTAATGGCCAAATAAGCCTGAAGAAGATAAAGGGCTGGGATTCGATTTCAGTCTCCCCCTTTTTCTTTGTTGTAGGACTCTGTATCTTTAAAAAAAAAAAAAACTATGCATTTTACGTCTTCATTTGGTATATGAACAATATCATAACAATAAAAAAATCGTAACGAAATATGAAAGAATTTAATTTTTTTAATTAATTATTATTATTGAATTGAGAAGATTCCAATCCAAATCTTTAACTAATAATAATACTCATGCTTATTGTTAGTTAAAACATTATAATAAATCATATTTTTTAAAATAAAAAAATTACTACTCCGAGCACAATTAGGAAGAATTTTCTAGTAATGCAGAAAAGAAAGAAATAGACAAAAAAATATATTAGATATTTTAAAAATTGGCATGTCATAAAAAATATAAAATAATATATTTTAAAATTTTAATAAAAATTATACAAATTTAATAAATATAAAAATATATTTTTTATATTTTATATAAATATAAATTATTAATATTTTACATTATATAAATACAATGATGTTACTGTTCACTTTCACCGTCACTTTCGTTGGTCCTAATTTCAATGAAAATGACCATACCAATTATTTATTGATGATTACTATATATAAATGTGAGAGGGACATTGCCTTCAGTAACAAGCTTTTGAAACTTCCAAACAAAGGTTTTAGAAATTCTTTCCTCAAGTGGTTCTGGATTTGCTTTTCACTGACAAAAAGTTCCAAAAAGTACAAAATATTATATCTATCTGAAATTTCTTTGACGGCTATTGAAAAGACACATCAAGATTTAATGAGGTTTATTATATACTTTGTATTTATTTGAACTTAATCACGTCTCCATGAATTTCGTCCTGAACCCCTTTTCAGTGGGACAAATAGCAGGCAGCAACTTTTCCCAGAATGAAACCAGCAATGGTTTTGGAAACTTCCCAGAAAGAGAATTTAGGGTATTCTGCATTTTAATAACTTTGGTCATTTTTTCTTGTTACGAGAAAATATTCACCAGGGGCGAGTGTTAATGCTGATTTCCAGGGGTTGCATTATGGTTCAGGTTAATGGATTTTGTTGCAATCAATATCTTGATGTTGCTATGTCTAAACATTTTTACTCATAGCTTCTGTATCACTTGCATTCAAAGTGAGAGGCAAGCTCTTTTGAAGTTTAAGCAAGATCTGATAGACACTTCAAACATGTTAGCTAATTGGACCAGTTATGGAGATTGCTGCAATTGGGTTGGAGTTGTTTGCAACAATGGCCATGTCACTGGGCTTCAACTAGGACGTTCTCAGGGTGTATGTGAATCAAAGGGTAAAGCTGAAGCACGTGTCAGGCACAAGTTAGGTGGTAAGTTGAACCCTTCTTTACTAGATTTGAAGCATTTGTCTTGCCTGGATTTAAGCTACAATACTTTTGAACCAACTCCAATCCCTGCTTGGTTTTGGAACTTGACTTCCAATCTGCACTATCTGAACATCTCTGGAAATCAATTCCAGGGAAACATTCCAGATTTTTCCACAACAAGTCATTGTTCTGTTGTGCTAGACTTCAGTTTCAACAACTTCACCGGTCCATTGCTTACTATGTCCTTTAATGTCACTGCTCTAGATCTTTCTCACAATGCCATGTCAGGAACTATCTCCCATTTTTTGTGCATCAGAATGGTTCAGCTCATGAAATTGGAAGTTCTCAATCTTAGCAATAATCTGTTTTCAGGAGAAATACCAGATTGTTGGGAGAATTGGCCAAAACTGGTGGCCATAGAATTTTGTAACAACAATTTTAGTGGTGAGATTCCAAGTTCAATGGGAGCTTTAACTTCTCTTCAATCCTTGCACCTAAGAAACAACAATCTAGTCGATGTAGTGCCCTCCTCGCTGAGAAATTGTACGGAATTGCTCACAGTTGACTTAGGTGCAAATCATCTCTCCGGAGAAATACCACCATGGATGGGAGAAAGCCTCTCAAAATTAATCATTATCAGCCTTCAAACAAACAGGTTTCATGGTCCCATACCAGAAGAATTTTGTGCTCTATCTCGTCTTCAAATTTTGGACCTTTCCCACAACAATTTATCCGGAAAAATACCAAGCTGTATCCGCAATCTTAGTGCCATGGTCTCAAGAAATACATCAGATGGCAAGATATCTTATAAAACTTCTAAAGGATGCTTTTTTGACAGTATGGTACTTGTGATGAAAGGAATGGTACTCAATTATAGCACTACCCTTAAACTAATTAAATTAGTGGATCTTTCAGGCAACAATTTATCAGGTGAGATCCCTGAGGAGGTGACAAGTCTGATAGGCCTGACTTCATTGAATTTGTCAAATAATCGTTTGGTTGGAAGGATTCCTGATAACATTGGTGACATGGTATTACTAGAATGTGTTGATTTATCCACAAACAATCTTTCTGGTGAAATCCCAAAAAGCATGGCTGAGCTATCCTTCTTGAGTTACCTGAACTTGTCCAATAACAAACTCACTGGAAAAATCCCAATGGGCACTCAGCTCCAAAGCTTCGATGAATCCAGCTTCCTTGGCACTGAGCTCTCTGGACCACCACTAACTAATAATTCTAGTCCTACGATGGCCCCCATCTCCAGAAACGGCGTAGCAGAAAATGTGGGTAATAAACAAGAAGTGAACTGGTTTTATTTGACTGTGGAATTTGGATTTTGGATTGGATTTTTTGTTGTAGCAGCCCCTATGTTTTACAGTCAGTCATGGGATTTGTTTATTTCGAATGTCTGGGCAAAATTGCATATGAATTTCGTGGCGTCTTTTCTGTACATAACAGTGCGGCTTAAGAATGAAAAAGAAAAGTTGCCAGTGATGTTTTCACCTCTTAAGAATGTTCGTAAAAATTAACCAAGTTAAGTTTTAAATTCAATTTTGTGACGTCTTTGAATAAAATTTAATATACTATGGTCTTTTTTAATGTAAATACTCCAATCAATATGGATGCATAGTTTACTTAATTCTCTGATTTGTTGTCACTTTGATACTTGCCATTAAAGAAAATAATCTGAAAGGCAAAAACTTCGATTGCCTGATAAGTAACATCTTGGGGATTTAACTGTTCTCATCCCGCATATTTCATCATGAGTTAAAAAAAGATTCAAAATTTCATGATTTAGCTGTTCTCATCATTGGAAGTACAATTCTTAGCAAAAGTTTTGAGAATTGAACACCATACTAGCATTTTACGAATTTCATACATTAATCAAACTGGTTGGTATAGTTGAACTCTGTTAACACTCTTTAACATGGGTCAATCAGATTTAAAAGCTATATTTCTACAGGGGGAATGTTTATTCCATAATCTATCAGCAAATATTCGTAAAAAATAAAAATCTGTCAGCAAATAGTTCAAATGCTAGCACAAATAGTCAGCAGAACATGTTGTTCTAAATAATCATGTCGAATAAAAAAAAAGTAAACGTTAGGACTAGAAAGATTAGAATTCAGACCAATGCTGTTTTGCAGTTACTCTCTTGGATTGAACACCTGACCATGAATTAAACTACAAGAAGGTTTAGTTGATCCATGATTTATGTTTTATTCATTTCCTTTTCGTTTGTTTTGAGAAATATATATATATATATATATATATATATCAATTCCGTCTGCTAGCTGAATACCTTAATCTTAAACAAAATTAAAACATAACCACATAAGTTGGCATTTAAAATGAAAATCAAACATTTGTAGCCAATCTGAAATTGGAATTGTAGTTAAATCCAAATAATTTTGTAGTTTTCTTTCTAAAATTTCGACCATACAAAAAACCATTAGCTCCCAGTATGGCTAAACTTCTACATTTTGCACATTTGGACTTTAGAACTAGGATTAAAGGCACGTAGAATCCTACTGGGAAAGCAAATCTTACTCGTGAAAGGTTAATGCTCCCAGAAGAGTTAACCGAACTAGTTCATGACCTGAAGGGCACAGTAGAATACAAAAATATCTGACTGACATATTTGTTTGAGGCAATCAACTATACTCCCAGGCCTGGCTGCTTCAATCTGGCAAATGGTTTTCTCTCCAAAATTTAGACATGAGTATGGCCTTTTGGTGGATTTCAAGCTGAGAATCTTCAGAAAACTAAGCAAGGATTGGTAGGAGACATCAATTAGCCGATAAGGATCAGGATTCTGCATATCTGCTTCGCTCGTGGATGATTGAAATTCTTGAAGCAACCACTTTATGCCTCCAACCTGAAGATCCTGTAACCCAAATGGGACTATCCAACTGAAGGGAGTCAGATCTGTGGTGACATTAACTGCTAAACCATAGCGTGTTATCCAATGCGACACTTTTACCACAGTTGCTGCCTATTTCTGATTTTCTGTAGCAGAAATTTGAAAACAAATAATCAGGAAAGACAACCAAGGAGGCCAGGTCCTTTCTCCGGATAAATTTAGACTAGAATAAATGATATTGGTACTAAATGTAAGGGTTATTGTCTTGGCCAATGGTGAAAATCTTCTTAATGTCAAGTGCAAATGCATGTCTAAAGAGACTAAAACAAGCAGCTACCCGACGCAAATGTGTAGGGTTTGAGTCTTTCTCACCCTTGCTCTATCAGTTTAGGACCATCAATGGATGTGAACAGTATTCAACAATGGTCTTCAGGATCAATAGTTTCAGTAAGAGAATTAAAAGCAATGAGTATTGCTTGCTGTCTTTAGTTAAAACGCCTAACATGAGTGGGGTGAGAATATGAAACCTGCTTGTTCCCTGCATTTAGAGCTTCCCAGCAAAAAAAGCATAATGCAATAAACAAGAGAGAAAGAGCCAATGAGCCAAACCATGCAGCTTATGCATCCCTTGCCCACTTAACAATTAAATATGATAACCCATATGTCTATTTCCTCTGCCTGCAATGACAACCTATAAAACATTAAAACTCCATTCACCAAGATGTAAATAGTGCAACTTTCAACGTCATATGAAGTATGAACCCAGTAGGAAGAGAGAGGAATCACGAACCAATGCAATGCTTAGTCTAGTTGGTTCATGCTATCACCTTAAGCAAATTTGGAATCCAAATCCAACGCCTGCAACCGCTTTCCTTACCGCCACTTTTGTAAACAAATAAAAAAGAGAGAGGAATCACATTATGAAAACCAAATCAAACATCGAAAAGAAAGAAATAAGAAATAAAAATCTTACCAACCCAAACACCTGTTAAACTCTGAATCCTAGAAGCCTTCACCTCCTCAGCTGCTCTAAGATACCAATGAAGACCCATAACTAATTTCATTTCGAAGTACAAAAAAAAAAAAGTTGGTACAACTAGAAAATCACCCAAAAATAAAATGAATTTGGAAACTTTATCTGTCCAGACCCATGGTATCCACGTAACTTCCCAACCACGTACAGTTCGATAAACATCAAAAGCAGCTTCTTTTATTTCGAAATTCAATCACTTTTCAGGGCCACCTCTGTCCACTGTATTAACCATGCCATTCCATATGCAAATCAATGCACTCACACCTGTAAAATTGAAGTTAAAAAGATTGAGTTTGGGGGGGAATGAACAGACTTTCTTTGTGAAAAATAATAGGGAGAGGTTTAGAGGGTTGAATTGGTAAGTTCCCTTTCGATGGTTTCCAGTAGCGCATGTTTGCTGGGATTGTTATGAAACACAGATTCATTGCAAGAAGATTCATAGAACAATTGAGGTTTTACCGAATTCCTAATTCCCCTCTAACCATGAGAACCCAATATGAAATTAACGTGCAATTTGGTTGCATCTATGGCGGAAAGTCGGGCCAAAACTAATAGCGCTTCCACAACTTTGCCCAAGTCCGACCCGACCCACTGATTGAGGCCGTTTAGAGGCTTTGATTTATACTAAAATTAAATTAAATAAAATATATAATTTTTACTAATAAAATAATATTTTAAGTCGAATTGATCAGGCCAAACTTGAAATTTTTGTCCGACTTGCCTACGAGCATGTCTATAATTAGGAAACTTAAGATTAAGTTACATTCATTTATTTTTTTATTGTTATTTTAAATAATTTTGGTTGATTATATTTTCAACCATAATAAAAAAAATTAATAGTAATAGTAAATTTTATTTGATAAATAAAAAATCTAATTTTATTGAATCAGCTTTATTTAAAATGTTAACAAAATTGATATGATATTGAATATGGACCATTTTATCCAAAAAAAAAATTGATTTGAAGAAAGAAAATATATTTAATTAAATTTTCATAATAATTCCGTCTTATGTTAATTATTTCATTCATTTGGTGTTCTTATTATAAACAGTTTATATTCAATTCATTTCTTGAATATATTTTTTTGGTCATTTAAATAATTTGCTATTAAGTGTACCTTGTCATTCAGCCAACATCAAATGGAAATCAATTGCAAGCTTAAATTGAGGAAAAAAAAAAAAAAAACCTATCCTATGATTTTTGTTGTTTTCATCATTTTGTGGATAAATTTTTTTGCATAGGTGACTATTGACATCAAAATGGAGAATAAAATATTGCAAAAAATAGTTTTAAATAATACCTTTTTTTAAAAAAATTTATTTGGGTCCATCAATTTTAGGGATACAAGAGGGTAAATTAAATAATTTATGAAATATAATGAAATTTTTGTTTGAATTCACCTTACATTAATAGAATTTAAAGCACTAAACACTTTAGATGTACTTGGTAAAATGAAAAAATAGAAGAATGGATGGGTGAGGGTGGAAAAATAAAAAAAAAATAATTTTTAGTGTGCTCGGTAAAAAAGAAAGTGAGAAAAGAAAATAGGAAAGATTATAATTTCACATATTTAAAATACAAATAATTTCAAATTAAAAAGAAAATATGAGAGAAAATGAAAAAGATGTGAGTATGTGTTGCATATTTACAAAAATGCTTACCATATTTAGATTTTTCTTTTTCTTTTTAATTCACAAAGATAATAATGATAAAATAATATAATTTTTATTTTCTTTCTTTTTATTTTTCAACTATACTAAGTAATGGATAGAAAGAAAATACAATTTCTTTCAAACTTTTTCGTCTTTCCAACCAAGTATACTAATGGAAAGAGAAAAAAAATATGTTTTCTATCTTTCCAATTTTTTTTTTCAATTTTCTATCTTTCTAGTTTTTATTCATCATATTAAGCAAAACTTTAAGGAGGAACAAAAATATCTAGTTTCAGGCTAAGTTTTATTCAACAAACAAAGTCCAAGTGACTTGTTTCTATTTTTGAGAGCAAGAGTGAGAAAAGTCTAAAAGTTATTCAAGTGTTTCAAGTATGTTCTAACCTTCATTATTTATAAAGCATTAATCCAATGGATATGTAACTTAATTGATTAATGTAATTAGCAAACACAACTTTTGGAATAATTAAAGATGTAATTATTCATATTTAATAAATGAAAAATTACTTAATGAGTGATTATAATTTATTACAAGGAAAATCATTTTTCATATTTCAAAAATCGTAACTTTTTTAACTAGAGCAGTCAACTATTGGATGAAAGTAGTTGATAGCCTTTTTATAAATTTTATTTCATAATGCTTTTCATGTAGGTCAGTTGATTACCCTGCTTAGGGCATTTTTGATTACCTTTATTATAGAATCCAAGTAATCAATCTCCTTCCTAAGACATTTGACTGTATTAATATAATTTTGTAATAGTAGACTTTTTCAATTAAAGCAATCAACTACTTTTAGCTAGGCATTCGATTGCGCTAATGCAGTTTTATAACTAAATGATTTTTTTCACTAAAAACTGTGGGTGTCATAATGATTTTTTATTGCTAGACATAAAAACATGAGTCATTATAATATTTTTTTATTTAAGTGTGATTGACCACCTAAATCTATCTTTTAATAAAT